TGTGTGTGTGTTTGTGTATGTGTGTGGTCCAACAAGTTACCAGAAAACTACAGGAAAAATGAAAATATACAGTTCATTTCACACTGGTGTAGAGACTTGAGGTGTCATTTGAGGTGTCAAATGGGACAGTTTTGCTCAACTGCCTCTTACTGGAAAACGCAGACTCAGGGAAATGTTTGCACAATTGTGTCCTGTGAATTGGCCTGCTGGGAGGGGAGGGGTTGCGGTTTGAGTCTGGGTGGGCTGTGAATCCTAACATGAAATCAATCACTGTGGGTAGGGTTAGAGTTCTCCTAAATGGAGACTTTTTACAGTAGGGATTAAAGAAAGCCCCTTCACTAAGCAGCAGCAGAGAAGTAAATTTTAGACAGGACAACCAGATACTGCTCTGTGTCCATGAAGGAAACTCCCAGTCCTCACAAAACGTTCAACGTTCTGTTCTTTTCCTTTGACTTTAGAAATAGTCATATTTAGCATCTGGTTTTAGTTTTTCTCTTGGGTTCTAAAATTTTATTTTATCTACAAATAGTAGATAACAGATAACTGTTTGTTATCTACAAACAGTAAAGTTGTAAAGCTAAGGTCATATGTTGGTAGCGTGGCTTTGGGGATTTTAAGGGAATCACCCTTCCTGTCAGAGAGCAGCATACTATTGAGGAATTATGGGAAAGTGAGCAAAGGCTCAAGGTTGAGCTGAGAGGGAAAAAACTCTTTGGAGAAATGGCTGCAATTTGTACCAATTCAGGAGTCAGTTTAATATAATTCTCCTCCTCCTGCCAAATATATCAGAAGAAGATTATAGAAAGGAAAAAAATTTCTAAAGAAATTATCCCAGTTACTTTTTAGTCAAGCATCTTACTGTTTAAATAAACATTAAAAAATATTTAAACAAAGAAGCTTTGGCTTTGATCACAGATGCTTTGTTTATCAATCACCTAGCATTTCAGTGCACTCTTAGTTCACAGTAAGGAATTAAGTTTAATTTCAATAATATTAAAAGACTGGTCTGATGACACATATGGGCAGCAAAGAAAAAAAGTGAATTACCATATTCAACTAATAAGGTAACAGTAGGGTCCAAACCATAGTGAATCAATAATCTCCCTTTTCATTTTATGATGTACTTCTGAAACATCACTTTGGAAAATCCATATTAAAATAACAAAAGCTATGGTTATATAATAATGGGAACTACCTTGAAGTTTTAATGAATAAAAGGTCTTGCTCTGAAACAATTTCACAGGAAGGCAGTACTGGTGGCATGGAACTTAGTTCCACAGAGAACAAAAATTAAAAACCCCGCAAATCATATTCTAGGTCAGCAGTTTTCAAATTTTTAGTCTCAGGACTCTTTCACAATCTTATAAATTATTAAGAACCCTAAAGAACTTTTTTTAAAATTGTGGGTTATATCTATAAATATTTACAATAATACAAATTATAGTTGAGAAATGAAAATGTTTATTATTCTGTAAAAAACAACAATCCCATGTTAATATAAATAATGCATTTTTATGAACATAATTATATTTTCAAAAACAAAAAAATTAGTAATAAGTTGACATTGTTTTAGTTTTCTTGCAAATCTCTTTAATGCCTGGCTTAATGGATGACAGTTGAATTCTCATATGTGCTTCTGAATTCAATTTACTATGCTATCTATATTGTTTTGGTTGAAGCATATTAAGAAAACCTGGCTTCACACAGATGTATGATTTGAAAAGGGAGGAATATTTTAATAACTTTTTCAGATAATTAGAGATATTCTTCTTTACAATGGTAGTATCTTAAAAGTTAGTTGCAATGTAGAATCTGAAACTCTATCAATGAACTTTCTGTATTCTGTTACATGAAAATCTACTGGTCTAACTTGGACTTTGATGGATGTTTTACCCACGCATGACTTTGTAATATCATGCATTGGTCATTTGAAAATACTGGTTCATTGAACTATGCAAAGACATATTAAATAATGTGTTGACACATTTTATAAAACAAAATCCATTTGTTACTAAAATTTCCTCTGTAGAAAAGTCTCAAGAATTACTTGTCAAGTTCATAGTGGTAGACGTTTTCTAAAATTCTTAATTTTTGTTTGAAAGCTTTCATTTTATCACTGACAATACATAGTGCCAGTGATTTTCCTTGAAATAAGCTGACTTCATTTTCAAGAAAATGTCTGTCAAATATGATCACGCATTGCTTAAGGATGGGGATACATTTTGAGAAATGTATTGTTAAGCAGTTTCATCGTTGTAGGAACATCATAGGGTGTACTGAAAGGGAACAAAATTTGCCACCCCAAAATGTTTCTTTAACATGAGGATTATTTTAGGCTGATTATTTTATTTTTTTGTGAGGAAGATCAGCCCTGAGCTAATATCCGACGCCAATCCTCCTCTTTTTGCTGAGGAAGATTGGCCCTGGGCTAACATCCGTGCCCATCTTCCTCTACTTTATATGGGACGCCGCCACAGCATGGCTTGACAAGCCGTGCGTCTGTGCGCGCCTGGGATCTGAACCTGCAAACCCTCAGGCCACCGAAGTGGGTCGCGGGCAGGTAACCCCTACGCCACCGGGGCAGCCCCAGGCTGATTATTTTTAAGAAACAAAGACTCAGAAAGTTTTTCTTGTTACCTCCCCCTTAACTGCCTAAAAGAATTCAGATTAAAAAACTTGTCTCAGGAATGGTCATCACCTTAGCATAACGTGAACTAGGTGGTAGACAGGGAGGAGCCTAGAAAAGCCTGTTGGGCTCCCCTCTGTGTTCTCCTGTTTCTGCGTGGCCAGCACTTGTTTTCCAAACGTTTGTTCCTTTTCACCTACCTGTGAATTGCCTTCCTTTCCTTTGAAGACGCTGACTCTCCCTACCCCCCACATCTTCTTTTGTCTTTAGCGGAGGATGGTATTTAAGGTGAGGACTTGGGCTAGTTGGTGAGTTACTCAGTTTTCCCGGTTTCTCCCACGTATACATGTTATTAAACTTTTGTTTGTTTTTCTCCTGTTAATCTGTCTCATGTTAATTTAATTCTTAGGCCAGCCAGAAGAACCTAGAAGGGTAGAGGAAAACTTCTTCCTCTCCCACAAACCTAGATGGTATAGCCTACTACACACCTATGCTATATGGTACTAATCTTATGGGACCACCATTGTATATGTGGTCCGTTGTTGACTGAAGAAATGTTGTTATGTGGCACATGACTGTACCCAAATCCGAATGACCATAATTTGTTAGTCGTTCTTTCAAGCAAAAATGCTATTCTGTGAAAAAAGCAGCTAGTTAAAAATACATGTATGCAATGATTGAACTCTAGTAAAATTAATGTTCACAATCTCATCAAAGACATTCTTAAGTGAAACAGGCATTTTTTTTTTCCTACTGCAAGGGCATGGCAGTGGAGAATAATGACTACTAGAGTTTGGTGCCACTGCCTTTGATTTGTTCTAAGGCCCCAGAAGTTTAATTTACTACTGATTATATACCATCAGTGCAAATTCTAGCAGTAAAAAAGCAAATAGTATTATTATAAAAAGCTTTGACTTTGCAGACACCCTGAAAGGGTCCTGGGGATCCCCACAGGGCCATGGACCATACTTTGAGAACTGCTATGGTAGGTATTAGGATAAACACAGATTATAAAAACAGTTAAGACATGATCCGTATTCTCAAGCCCATCTTCTAATAGAAGAAACCTATGGAGACATTACAACTTAGCTTTATTGATAACAAGCAATGGCAGCAGTGTGGAGGATAGATTAAAGACAAGCATCGAAGCAGAGCTCAGGTAGGATACTGCTGCGGCAATGCGACAGCATGAGGCGGGTCTGACCTAAGGTAGTGGCAGTAAGAATGGAGAAACTTCTAAGGTGGTGGCATTATAGGATTTGGTGACTGATTAGATGTGAGGCATGAAGGAGGAGGGCAATGCGTGGATAGTGGTGCCCTTCCTACACAGGCATGACAGGAGGGGCAGGCTGGCAGAGGGGTGGGAGCAGATGATGAGTTTAGCGTTAGATTTACTGACCGTGAGATGAATGTTAGAGCTCTAGGTAGAGAAGCAGCAACGGGATTTCCTGCTCCTTCCCCAGGGCCTTGCAGGTGTCTCATGCACGCTGTACCCCCAGTGCTAGCACAATACCTAGCTCTTAATCTTGACTGAGTAAATGAATGCTCTGGTCAGGAGCTCGTGACAGTAATCTAGGAAGATTAGATTTGGTAGTCGTTTCATCTACAGGCTTACGTGAACCCACAGGGGTGGATGAGATCAGGCTGACAGTAGCTGCAGGACTGAACTCCCGCTTCAAAATGTTTCTGGCGGCTAAACGGCCAGAATAAGTGGCGTTCTTGGGGAATGGTGCCTTAAATAGGTCTCGACGGCTTACAACACATAAATTTATTTTGGAAGACCTGTTTCCGTATAATACAGCATACCTAACAACTAAGATTTGTTACTTTGATGGCTGTATATTGACACCTGTCAGACTGGTTTCAGTTGGGGTGGGATGGGGATGACCTCACCGTCCCACCCTTCAGTGTGTAGACGGCAACTTGCACAATCTCCCCTGTAGCGACTATTTGGGGGTAGAGCAAGCTCCGGCGCAGCGGGTCCCCGCGCCCGGAGGGGGCGGCGCTCAAACCCCGCCCGCCTGACGCGACATAAGCCGAGATCACCTCACGCGCGCGCGGTGCAATCACAGCGCGCGCCGCCGCCAACGACTGTGCCGCCACCACCCTCCTCCTGAGATCCCTCCGCTCTCCCTCTCCCAGCACCGAGTCCCTGGCACCCCGCACCCGTGGCACACAGGCTCGGGTGGCCCGCGATTCTCAGGGGGTGATCTCTTAGGCTCACGTTCTCTTCCATCGCTGTACCACCTGTGCCATAGGTGCAGCCTACTTCTTCAGGTACTCTCTGCCCGGCGTAAGGAGACCTCGGCCTTGGGATGAACTGTGAAGGGGCGTGGCCAGCGGCAGGCCCCACCCCGTTCTGTGACGCGCAGGGTGGTGCGCGAGGGAGCCGCGAGCAGGGGGTGGGGCTGGGTTTAGTAGGAGGCCTGGAGGCCGGGGCCGCCTCCCGACGCCCATCAGCGGGCTTCTCGCGCTCTGTTGATTCGGGGGAGCGGCGGCGACCTCGGCCTCCAGCGTCTCTGGCGAACTGAAGCGGCGGCCACGATGGTGCTACTGGGCTTACTGCAGACGAGCGGGTCGGTGCTGGTGCAGGCGATGGAGCAGGTGACGGGCGGCAGCCTCCTATCCATGCTGCTGATCGCCTGCGCCTTCACGCTCAGCCTGGTCTACCTGTTCCGCCTCGCCGTCGGCCACCTGGCCCCCATGCCCGCCGAGGCGGTACGTGCACCCCTGGGGGTCTGGACGGGTGACTCGGTGACCAAGGCGGCCGAAGGGCTAGGGAGGACGGCGACCGCGGAGGCGGCGGGTGCACTGGGGGGGAGGGGTGGGCGCGGCACTGCTACTGGTGGCGCTGGCGGTCACGACTGCTGGCCTTGTGCGGCGGGCCCTGATGGCGGTCTGGATTCTGGCAGTGGCTGGTCTTGGCCGGGGTCGTACTTGCCGGTGGTCATAGTGATGGCTGTGCTGGCCGCAGCTCTGGTGGCCCTAATGACCGTGGCCGGACTGGTAACTGTGGCCCCGGCTGTGGCGCTGAGCGCCCTGGTGGCGTACTGGTAGCCACAGGGGTGTTTTGGGCCTGGTGGGGCCCCTGGTGGCGATGCTATTGGCAGCTGCAAGCCCTTGGTGGCCGTCGTCCTGGTGGCCCTTGTGTGGTTCAGTGTCCTGTGGGCTGTGGCATTGCCCCAATGGCTATTTATATCAGTATGAAGGGGGATGCGTTCAGTTTGGTAGAGTGGGAGTGAACTGGAGTGTTGTAGGGACCCTCCTATGATGCTAATAAAATATCAGTTTCTCTAGTTTAGTGGGTTTATTGACCACTAGCTTTGTATTTCCCTAATATATTTGATGAAAGCATCCTTAACCATCCAACACCAAGTAGCTTCTAAAACTACCCTTTTACTGATCATGGAATGTACAAACTATTGACCAAGGAGTTTTTAAAATTATTTTCATTTGAACTATAACAGGCATGAAGCAGTTATTATTTTTCCTACATGTGGGATTTTTGAGCTAGTGATATTTGTCTTTGGAAAGACAAAGGTAGCTTTAGTATTTTATGATTGTACTTACTATTATCTGAAGAGTGAGTTTGTAATGCTCCTTACTATTTGAGACCACCAAAGATCTGAGGAGTGTTACGCTTTTTCATCGTTGCAAATTTGATTTCCAGAACACTTAATGTTGCAATCTGCAAGTCTCATTTTGTGGCATCTAAAGTACTTTTTACAGAGTGCTAAACAGTTCCTGCTAGAGCTGATCTGCTCTTCTTAAAATCAGTGAATCTCTTTCATTCGCAGTGAGCCCTGGTGGTCTAGTGGTTAAGATTCAGTGCTCTCACTGCTGCGCCCCGGTTCCTTTCCCTGTCAGGGAACCACACCACTCGTCCCCTCTGTTGTTGTCCTACATACTGTGGTGGCTGCATGTTGTTGTGATGCTGAAAGCTATGCCACCAGTATTTCAAATACCAGCAGGGTCACCCATGGTGGACAGGTTTCAGCAGAGCTTCCAGACTAAGCTAGATTAGGAAGAAGGACCTGGCCACCCACTTCTGAAAAAATTGGTTGTGAAAACCTTATGAATAGCAGCGGAGCATTGTCTGGTATAGCGCCAGAAGGTGAGAGGATGGTGCAAAAAAGACCTAGCAGGGTTCCACCCTTCTGTACACAATGTCACTAAGTCGAAATGGACTTGAGGGCACTAACAACAAAAAAGTTCATTTGCAGTGAGAGAAGCATGAGATGTGTTCTGTTTACTGATGAATGTAGCTTCTTAAACATTTCTTGTCTTTCTATACCTCAAGTTACTGTTTGTCTTTTTCTATGCCTTTAGGCAAGATTCTGGGACTAAAATTGTGGGTGGTAGCATAAGTAAGTGGTGAAGAAACTATAGTTTGACTTTCTTGTTTCTTTTGGCTACTCTTGGTTAGGAAAGATGCCTAGAGCCATCAGTAATACTGGAGATATTCTGGACAGTGTTCAGCATTTATAATTGCAATACTTTTGTGTTTGTCTAATCATTTATCTTATGCCATGTTCTGAGCGTCTGTTCTTTTTACTATGGCTACTCTCCTAGGATATTTGCAATTTGGCTATTGTTAAGTTACTTGTGATGCTTCATCTTTTGGGAACTTTTTAGTTACCAGAATGGCAAATGGCAAATTTCATTTGTTTGGTCATGAAACTAGACTGGTTTTCTTTTGTAAAATGAAATATGAACTGAAAGTTTTTTTGTTTTCTCTTGCAGAAAAGTCCACCATACATTTCCTCTCCAGTTCCATTCCTTGGACATGCCATAGCATTTGGGAAAAGTCCAATTGAATTCCTAGAAAATGCATATGAGAAGGTAAGTCTTCCAAATGATCAGAGGAAAAGAAATTAGTGCTTTTCAAACTTTTCTTTTAAATGGCAGAACATTAGAAATAATTGTAATCTTATGCTTATCCCCAGTATAGGAAACATAAAATTGGAGCTGCTGAGGTTTAAGAGCTTCAGGGGCATGAGAGACCCTCCTCTCTTCTCCCATGCCCTGGGGTGATCTCTGAGACACCACTGAGGAAACCTGTAGTTCTGGCAACTGTGGTTTAAAAACCACTGGCCTAAATTTTGTATTCATTGATTATAGTTAAAATTGATACTAATTGACCCTTCTTTTTCTTAACCATGTGTCTGTGTAATTTTCTCACTTGCTCTACATGTGTTCTTTGACGTCAGTTCCACTTGGGTGACCCACACGACACTGTGGCCACTCAGATCTTTGCCTCTCTCCAATGACCTTTCCCATAGCAATTCAGCCATTTACTCCACAGTCCCACTTTGGACTTGTCACTGTTCACTGTTTTGCCTCCACAATATTAATTTAGACACCATATTTTTAGACCACAACTTCTTCTCCTGGTTTGCCTATGCACCTCCTTCCATTATAGCCGTTCTTTGACCTCATTAGATGTTCCACTCTACTGTCCCATTTACTTTCTCTTGATCTATCAGCCTTCTTTCTTTCCTTTTCCACTTTGGGACCATGGTCTAACATTTCAGTTACACTCTTGCAGTACCTTCAATTTCCTTGCCCCCTGATCTTCTTTGTTCTTACCTGGTAAAACCCCAACCTTCGACAGAATCTGTTAGTCATTTTCTCCTTCCTTATACCAGATTGGTTCCTTCCTAATTTCCTGATTGCCTACCTTGAACGAACTTTGAACACTGTTCAGCAATCCTATCATGTTCCTGTGGTTGGCTTACTTTCCCACTCACCATAATGACTAAAAATTGCATTAAAGTTTATGAATGTTTTAATTTTCAACAATGTATTGTTTCGTGATTTAAGAAATTAGTGTCTTAGTGCTACATATTTTTTGGTAACATCACTGTGGGTACTTTTCTCTCTTTAGTATGGACCTGTATTTAGTTTTACCATGGTGGGCAAGACGTTTACTTACCTTCTGGGAAGTGATGCTGCCGCACTGCTTTTTAATAGTAAAAATGAAGACCTGAATGCAGAAGATGTCTACAGTCGTCTGACAACACCTGTGTTTGGGAAGGGAGTTGCATATGATGTACCTAATCCAGTAGGTGACACTGTTATTTTGAAGAAAGACAAATCTATACTGTAATAGTTATAGCTAGTGGTGTAATATTATACATTTAAAATGTGGAAATAATTTATTCCTTGGTTCAAAAATCTGAAGAATCACGAGACATTTAAAAGAAGAAAAGCCATGAGTGACTGACAAAGAATGGGTATTTTGTTTTATAGTTGCTGGCACGGGCTTAGCAACTTTAAAGGGCTTCTTGTATAAAGAAATAGAATCAATGATAACTTAGCATATTGGGGTTTGACTTGTGTGGGTAACAAGAAAAATCCCATTATTTCGTTGGAAGGGCCTCCTACCTTCCCACTTCTGCCTAAAATTCTAGCATAAGAGCTCTTTTGAGCTAGAGATTGCTGGCTTTAGAAGTTTTGTGTGATTTCTTTTCCCTTCTAAAGTCAAATATTAAAGTGCTGCAAGTTGATGTAAAACACAGATCAGATAATTGGCCCAAATGCTTGGCATGGGCTCTGGCTGTGGATGTACCACACATTTCCCAGTACCCTAGTAGAGAAGTTAACAAGTTGACATTAAGTGCTGTTTCTCCGGGTGGGGGAGGTGTAGAGGAGGTGTGGGGGAGTGCATGGCTCTCCTTAAGGCCAAAAGCAAGAGCCCTGCAAAATCCCTTTGCTGAGATAAATCTGTTTGTTTTTTCACACAGCTTATCAGATTCTTAAAATAGAAATGCCCTAAAGGGTTAAAATTATCAGTTGTTTTAGTGTGAATTTATTTTATTCAGATTATATTATATTCTAATTAAACTTCTGGTAGATAGTGTCAGTGAGGAGTGATATTTGTTTTGAGAATAGAATAGGAGAAAATGTGAAGGAGGGTAATAATATCAAAGCATAATGGACCTTTGGAGATTGTATTGACATCTGGGTTGGAAGACTAGGAGATCACCAGAATAGGCAAAGGGAACCTTGGAGTGGAGAGTGGGAAAACGTACATAGGAAGGAAGGCGGGAGGTGGGATTCCTCATTTATCATTGTCTAGGGCAGGCGTCTTCTACACATATACAGAAATGCTCTAAGTTTCCCATGTCTGGCATAGTTAAAAATATCCTTTTACTGTTTTTATTTTTAATTTTTCAGAAGTTGTTTCCTTTGTTAGAGTTATAATGACCCAAATGGATCTTGTTATTAAATAAAATTATGTTTTAATGCTATATACCCTTAATTTTTTGAAGGTTTTCTTGGAGCAGAAGAAAATGTTAAAAAGCGGACTTAACATTGCCCACTTTAGACAGCACGTTTCTATAATTGAAAAGGAAACAAAGGAGTACTTTCAAAGTTGGGGAGAAAGTGGAGAAAAAAGTAAGCAAAATGTTTTGGGTTTGCATTTGTGCTAACATGTGTACTTTGCTAAGACTTCGAAATCTAAGAATACGTGTGTGTGTGTGTGTGTGTGTGTGTGTGTGTATAAAGCAAACTACAACATATGTAAAACCACCTTAAGTTTAATGGAAGGAACATGATATGATTACCATGGAGTTAAAAAGACCTATCAAGGGATGAATGGATAAAGAAGATGTGGTATATATACACAATGGAATACTACTCAGCCGTAAGAAACGATGAAATCCAGCCATTTGTGACAACATG